ATTATTTGTTCATTCTGTTAATTTTAGGACTTCAGCCCAAAGTTTGCTACTGAATATTACCTTTCTCCACACGCCTTGGATTCTGGTTTTGATCCTCAAACAGTATGGCTTTCCCTTCCAGTCTCAAGAATTTCCCTGCCTGTGTTAGAAAATATTACATTCCTGATGGGGCTACCCACTGCTTTTGCTTTCTGTGTGAAGGAAACATCACAGCTAAGAGTTCTGCTTAGCATGTAGACCCAGAACTAAAGAAGTAGGAAATTTTATTTTCCAAGTCCATGAGCGATTTGATGGATTTGCTCAGCAAAACTAACACAATACAATTGGAGTCATACTCTGCTAATAAATCAGCTCTGAAAAAGAAATAAATATAATCAAAACCATTCTTGGTCTTATGGTCACTCCTTAGCCCTAGGAAAGTTCACACTGTCCATGTTTGCACTTTCATGAAGACCTAAGACCTTTCACTTCAAAAGGGTTTCAGGAGAAAGTCTGTTAGATTTTATTCAAAATTATCCTATTGACCTGTTGAGGGAAGTGTAAAAATGAAATTCCATTTGTAGCCCTTTCTTTCCATCTCTGCTTTTTTTTTTTTTTTTTTTTTTTTTTTTTTTTTTTTTTTACCATCACTGACATGCACAGGCTAAAATTTCTTCCACAAATTTACTTCTGACCACTTAGCCAGTCACTTTTGCTCTCTTTCTGTGTAATAAGAGTTTGACAGCAGGCTGTCCAATGCCACCTTTGTACAGCAAGATGTCACAAAGAATCTGCTCAGATCTATTTTCTCCTTCAGAGTTTCTAACTGTTCTTTTCAGAAGAACATGCTCTTGGTGCTGATAGATGATTGCAGATCTTTCTTAGAACTAGTAATAAGGTTAGCATTCTTAAAGCATATTTAGTTGGATCAGTTTTTGGATCCATGTGCCTTTGCTATCTTATTTTTGCCTTGGATTTCTAAAGTATTATTGTCATTCAGCCCTGTATTTCTGTATCCTGGACGTCAGTTCTGGTAAAATCCAGTGTCATGCAGAATTTCATAAAGGAGGATGAATAAAAGGTCTCATCCCAGCAAGTGACATAAGTTTTTCCTTTTCTCCTTCCTTCCAACTTAAAAACAATGGCAGCTGCTGCCAAAGGAAGGAGTATGTAGACCAAAAGAGTCACTGTATCCACTAGGTTGATAGAAGTTCTATCAGATCATCACTAAAATGATTTTTCAATCAATGTCTGTTCTTCTTAGGTAACTTCTTGGCATTATCTGGCCAGCTGTACCCACAAAGATCTTACCTACATGATTTCATTTTCAGGCCTTAATCTACCTGAATTTAGCAATAGTCTTGGCACCATTCTTTAAAAGAGCCAGCAATACTCTGCTGATTGCAAGTAGAATAATTATTTAGAGGAAACAGTCTTGGTTTTATACCCCTACCCTATGCAAAGAAGTCCTGTAATGGAAGACTTTGCTTTTGAAGGTCCTTTTTGACAGCAAGGAGCTCTCTAGCTCCCCATAGACAAGGTTTTGTACTTCAAAATAATTGAACAGCTATGCTAAGATCCATTGGAGTGCTCCAGTTCATTTTTAGAAGGCATTACTTAGTTTCTTACAGCCCATGCTATTTGTTGCCTCCTAGCCCTCTCAAAGTAGACACCAGGGGTTCTTCAGGGATGCAGTGCTTTGACCATCACTGCTCCTCAGCACCAAGTACTTCATGTTGCTCAAATGCAAACTGGAGATTCAAGGAAATATCATAATTTACATATTTCATGACTAGGACTTCTTAGATGTTGTTATCAACAAGAAGGGTTTTATCTCAGAGCTCAAGATTAGCTCTTAAATCAAGTATACTTCTGACCAAGTGATTGGAAAGGCTCCTGCCTGGATATGGCCCAGGCAGTTCTGAATTCAGAACCTTTCAAGTGTTTCTATGCTGAGTGACAGAACATTTTTGTTATTATCAGATTTACATTTAATGTATTTCACTTAAATGCATCATTTAATGCATCCTCTAAATCAAAACACCTGCCAGCTGAGTGTGTGCTTATCAGATGTCCTCTGAAGCTTTAATAGGCCCTGCTAATATCACTATAAACAGCAAAAAAGAATCTACCACATACAGCTGTCTAAACAGTATCAATGGAGTTCTTAAAGATAATGCTCTCCAGTTCTATCCCAATAGTTGTCTTCAATGAGATACACAGTTTAAGAGCTCCTGCCTTTCTGTTCTTTCTTTTCCTATCAAACTTCACATAGTGATCATTTCATTCTCGTACCCTCAAGTTCAGGATTATTTTGTTTTCTTTTAGCCTGCTTCTAACAGATTTCTAAAACTCTTAATCCAATAGTGCTTCCTTTTAGGAACCAGATCCTTTAATGGGATTGTATCTAATCCTGTCCTTTTAATGCAAATGCTCTTTGATCTTGTTTACCATACTGACTTTTCTAGTTGTTTGTAAAGACAGTGCCCTGGTTACTAACCCTTTTGCGAATAATAAGATTTGGGCACTAGTGGCATACTTTTGGTAAATAGTTTTCCATAAAAATTAGATGACCGTCAAAGAATACCTGAAGTTTTTGCCCATGGTGTTTCTGACTTTTATATATTTCTTGATCAACAGTTTACTTGCTAAAGTTTTGCTCAACAGCAATCCTTTTTAGCCACAGTGTAGTCATTTGCTGGTTTCTATATTCACTGGACAATGAACTTCATGAGAACTGTTCATCTTTCCATATCAACACCTGAAAGGTTGAAAATCTACCAGAAAATGTTGGGCTGGATTATAGATTATGAACATATATAAGCATATATATGAATATATATAAAGAAGTGCTAATAAAACACGTATGTCTATGCTCAGTATAAAGGTCTACTCAACTAAAGTAACCAAAGGGCCCAATCAAATAACAAAGTGATTTCTCCATGTTATGTTATAAAGCTTGATATCCTCAGGTTATGCACTTGAAGTTCATTCCACTCCATTGCTAATTATTATGCTTGCAATAAAGTTTCTGGAAATGCTGTTTCATTTTGCAGTGTTGTGTCTTAGGTTTTGTGTAACTAGGCATCCTAAGAACCTTTTCTAGGTGTTTGGCAGAATGCTGCTTGGAATTACCCACAGATTGAATAAACATGTAAAAAAACATTTGAAGAAGTTGATGTTTTTCTATTCTGGCATCGTTTCTGTCTATGAGGAAGCTGAAAAGAGGTTGACTAAAGTCATGTAATCTTACATGGTGGAACATCTTACCAAAGAAATGGCAATATGTTTCTTTTCAGACATCTCACTTTTTAACAGACTACAGTGAATCTTGGTGTACAGCGTTGGTCAGTGACTATGTAATTTAATCAGTTAAGAAACTGTACTTAAACAAACTTAGATTTATATCCTGTGTGCTTTTAAGGGTACATGAAGTACTGTATGCTGCATGTCACTTTATCAGATAACTGCCAGTTCCCATTTGCCTGAGGCAACCAAATGAATTCCATACCTGTTAGTTCAGTCTTGCAGTGCCAAAGCTGACGGTTTTCTGTTTTACGCATTAAGTGTAAACATGTGCTTGCTAATTTGAGTTGACTAATAAACACAAAAGTGTGAAAGCAGCCAATTCTGTGCTAGACCACAGGTTCACTCACCCAGTATTCTGTTATATTCTCTACTGGCCTACAAGGGGATGCCTAAGGAAATGTAGAAGAATGGGGCAAACTTGTAGCAGTGGCTCCCCTCCCCAGAACTCTCTCCTACCTTTGAGAAATCTGTGGCCAAGAAACTTTTCAAATCAGAGGGAATACTTTTAAATTAAATAACCCTTAATTATATATTTTTTTTTTTCTGTGAATGTCTTGTCAATTTCAAACATAAAAACTTTTAACATCTACTAGGAGCAGCTGAGGGAACTGGGGTCGTTTAGTCTGGAGAAGAGGAGGCTCAGGGTAGACCTCATTGCTGTCTACAACTACCTGAAAGGAAGGTGTGGGGGCTGGGGATCAGCCTCTTCTCACAGGTAACTAGTGATAGGAATAGAGGGAACAGCCTTAAGTTGCACCAGGGGAGGTTCAGGTTGAAAATGAGGAGACATTTCTTCTCAGAAAGAGCAGTCAGGCATTGGGATGGGTTGCCCATGGAGGTGGAGGAGTCACCATCCCTGGGGGTGCTCAAGGAAATGTTGGACCTGGCGCTTAGGGACATGGTTTAGTGGGTGACATTGGTAGTATGGTGATTGTTAGACCAGATGATCTTTTCCAACCTTGATGATTCTATGATACAGTTCTGCTGCAAGGACTTCAACATCATAACTATTCTCTGTTTGAAATTAACGTTGTTTTATTCCGAACATACCGTGTTTAGTTTCTATTTTATTTTCTAAAAGCATACTTAGACATTCTTGTAGAATTGTATTTGTATCCACTAGCCACATTTTATGTTGATCATAGTCTAAAGTGTACCTTGGTTCTCTCAGTTGCTGTCAAGACTTGTGTAACTGCCTCTTGAATAAGTTTGCAAGTACTCCTGAATACTCATTTGCATTGATATAAGAAAAGAACATTACCACTCTTTTGTCTTAGCTGTCAGACTTAATGTGAGAAACAGAAGACAGTAGGAGAGCCTAAACAGGGGTGTCTATTTGGTGTTTAAGATGCCTAAGGGTATATGAGGCACATGCCTGGCAAGTACAGCAGGTAAGGTAAACTTGCACACCTTTGGAAGTGACAGCTTGAGGTCATAAAGAATACCCGGTGTCATCTAAAATGGCACTAGATACCTTTATTTAGGCATTGAATTTCTGCTTAGATGGTGCTATTTAAAACAGTCTAACTCTTATCTGTCAGTCAAGAGTTTTTAGTTCCAAACTGTCCATATTTCTTAGTGAAGGTGACAGAACACTACCTGCAGTTTTGAATAATTATGTCATGCCAATCTCTCTTATTTTTTTTTTTTTAAACATTCACATAAAATATATATTAAATATTTTAAAATAATGTTTCTTATGACTTGTTTAGGATGCTGGGGAGATGGTTCGGTCCTTTGTCGGTGGCTTGGAACTGATAGTCAATCTGCTAAAATCAAAGAATAAAGAAGTTTTAGCAAGTGTATGTGCAGCCATTACAAATATAGCTAAAGATAAAGAAAATTTAGCTGTTATAACAGATCACGGAGTCGTCCCTCTGTTGTCTAAACTAGCAAACACAGTAAGTAAACATACTATATTAAGTATCATACTAAACATACTATATCAAGTACCTGAGTTTCTTATATCAATCTGCATTATACCCAACTAAAAGGTTGTGACATGAGTGATAGATTTTGCAGCAGCTATCAGGAAGAGATGCAGAATTCCTCCTCCACAAGATGTATATTGGACATGAAAGCACTCTGTGGCTGGTACTAAAATTGTTTTGGAAGATGAGCTTCATTTTAATAATCACTGTTGCTGAATATTGCTTTTTAGAAATGCAGCTGCTGTATGGAAAAAGTACAAAGGGTTGAGAGAGCAATAAATCTGAAATGCACAGAGAATCTTAGTGATGAGCTATATGTTAAATTTTAATGCTAATCTTACCTGATTTCCAGTCAGTCTAAAAGCACCTTTAAAATGATATAAAAATTCACTGCACTTCTTACAAAGAGGGCTCCGTGCCTCATAGTTCGCTCCAATGTTTAATTGTATTACAATTAAAATAGGACATAAAAATGTTTTAGAATACAGTATGACATTTTTATTGTATTATATTGTTTTTAATTTATTATGTTTTTACCTTTTTCAGAACGATGACAAATTAAGACGTCACTTAGCAGAGGCCATTTCTCACTGTTGCATGTGGGGAAGCAATAGAGTTACCTTTGGAGAGAGCAAGGCTGTAGCTCCCTTAGTGCGTTACTTGAAGTCAAATGATCCTTTGGTTCATAGAGCTACAGCCCAGGCTTTATATCAACTTTCAGAGGATCCCAGCAACTGTATCACCATGCATGAAAACGGAGTGGTGAAGGTGAGGTGGAAATTTTCTTATTTGGCTCGGTCAAAAACGACCTTTCTTTTGAAATAGTTTTTGAATGCTGCTGTGTACCTCAAATATTCTGAGCTTTCCCTTAGAAAAGTTCGATTAAGTAGTGAAATAGGGAAGAGTAGTGCTAGAGTTATCACAGCCTGGTGGTTGTTGAGATGTGGACATTCACCTTTAGAGTGCTTGACTTGACTTGACCTCAGCTGGTAGTGACATTACATCAGCATTTTATCAGCACGGAAAGTTGTCCAGTATGACAGGAAGCCACCTTGGAACTGCGTGTAACTGGATTTGGGAACAAATTAAAATTAAAATTAAAAATGAAACAAAGGCTTAGCTTACCTGGAGCTGTTTCAGTGAGTTCTGTATTCACTTATAAGAAATTGTATTTTAGGAGTTAAGCATGAGAATATTCTCCAAAGGCCTTTCTCTAGAAATAATTTTTCTATCAAAAAGATTTCTATCAGTTTTATCTCACAAGTTGAAGCCAGTAAAGTTATTTCACAGGAAAGAGAAGGATTATGGCCTTAAAGATAGAAATTTTAGGAATTGTCAATTTTTGCAAATTTCTGTTGATGTGATTTTATAGTAATTCCATCTGAGTCTAGGTTCATTTTCAGTTTTCAGTCCTAGTTAAAATATTTACACTAATTAAAAGCATTTATTTGCACTTGCAGATAAGTAGGTATATGCAAAAAATATCATAGGTGTTTTGTTTTTACATTGTTCACAATGTTCTGGAATTGCTACAGTATGTTAAAGGGGAGAAAAAAGAACTGATAAAAGGAAAAGTGAATTATAAAATAAATGAACTTGGATTAACTTAGTTGCATGCATCTAAGCATTTTGCTCGGGGTGTGCTTTCCCTTTCTTGTGTACAAGAAACTTGTATTTTTGTAATGAAATGGACAAGTGTTTGATTACATAATAGTATGTGGCTCCAGCACAGAACCAAAGGGGAAGTTTCTGCCACCTCATAATTGATGGATGGGCTAAACATCTGAGAGCATATATGACCAATTCTCATCACATGGGCCATAATAGGCATGCATTTGTATTCTATAAGCACGTATACATTATTAATACGACAGGTAGCAGCTACATTTTGGTCCATCACAAGATTAACTACCAGGGTAGTGGTGGAGATGAAAAGGATGAGGGGTTTCGTGAACAATGAACAGAAAATTTACTTGAATTTTTGGTCTGCTCTGCAAATGTAAGGAACTAAGAGATGGCAGTGTGTTCTCACCTACCCTGAAGTATTTCAGAACTCTACAAGGTTTGACTAATCCTCCTCTGTAGTTCACATGATGTAATTGTGGGGGGAAAGCAGTTTGACTGCAAACAAAACTAGTTTCATATGGAATCTTTAAAACACAGCCAAACCTGATCAAGAATTAAGAGCTTAAAGAAGAGCATTAAGATGAAAACACCTGTGACAACACTTTGTCATGAGGGACCTAGAATAATTCTTCATTACTTATAAGTATTGCAATGTGCAAAAGTCTTGGGAAGGGTTTTTGGAGGTGATTTAGAATATCATCTATAACATTCAAATGCCACTGTTCTATAACATCTATATTCATATCTATATTCATATCATCTATAACATTCAAATTCCACTGTTGATTCATGCCATAAGCTCTTCACTTTGGTAAACTGGAATCTTCTCATAGCTAGGAGGTGACTGTGAAACAAATGCATAGGTGGGAAAACACAATGATTCCTTAGTGCTCAGTTATTATTGGCAGTAAAAATGAACTGTGCTTGGAAAGCATTAACTTACCTTAAGGGTTAGCTTTTACCAACCCCGCACCAAAGCAAAAATAATGGAAGTTTGGCAGAGTGTTTTTTCAGATAAATTGAGTCAAACTACTCAGATGGCTGATGCCATCCAAACCAAAGACTGACAGCGAGTGCACAGTCAAATGTACTAAGTTACTATAAACCTCTGAGATCTGTCGAGCTCTTCAAGTAAGCTGCCTTCTGTTCAATGTCCTCCTGCAGTCAGTGTGTATAGTAGAGACTCTGAAGCCTAGAGTCACCCACCCAGTTTGTAGCAATGGGAAATTTATTATTGTAATATGAGCCTTTAAAACAAGTTTGATGCTTTTAAAATTAAAATAAATGAATTATTGTAAGAAATCCATCCAGCTGCACAAATTCTTTAAACATGTCTCATACTTAGGACTAAGAGCTGTACCTAACTAGGTGAGCTACATGTTTTTTGTTCTTGTTTTTAATTCAATGCCTGCATACATTTCATTTCTCTCTCTGTCACATTCCAATGAACCTTCATGGAAGTGCTTAATTACAGATGCCACAGACATTTAATCTGGATAATATGAAAGTAATTACACATACCTAAACAAACAAATACACTCTTCACAAATAGTATTTCTGTACTGTTTAATTATTCAGATGTTTTAAAACAGCGTTTTATGGAAACTTTGTTCTGACACAATGACTATAAATGCATCTGTTATAAAAGCTCTATTTGTTTAAGTCTGTAAGAAATCATTAACACAAGGTGAATTGATAAAATAAATAGGTATGCCTAAACAGGGGGACCCCTGGAGCAGTTCCCAGCTTTTGTGTCCAGGTGCACAGCTCTGGCCACATACTGACTGCATATTGAGGCTAAACCTGGATGCACACCAGGACTCTTGCATTCTGGATTGTGCTGGGAAAAAAAAAGAAAAAAAAAGCAGGTGCAGAAGGAAGACTGGAACCACAACATGTATAAACAATTGGGAATCAGGACTGCAAGATGTACTGCAAAATTCATTTGCCTTTCAACTAATATATACACACAGAGAATCCACTACCAGAGTATGCATTGAAGTTAACATGACTCAGAGATCCATGCTAATAAACTGCAGAAGTCTTTGACCCTGTTCTGTTCTCCCTACACCATAAAGTGACAGATGTACAGTGAGAGGTCATCAGACCGAGTTTTCTGAGCTATATTGAGATTTCTTATCTGTATAGCTTTGTTAGTACGGAGCTCAGTATTAGATTTACCTTATCCTAGTACTATAAGGCAGTATAGGCTTATCCATGTTTAAAAAAAGGATAAAAAAGAAAGTTTGTTTTCAACCCTATCATTTAAGGGATGGAGTTCTCCCAAGAACAAAATACCTGAGACCATCTGGAGCTTCTAACCCTAAATAAAAGGTGTCTTAATTAGCAGTTATCCTGCTGTGAGATTTGCAACCATTTTCTAATGCTTATATATTGTGTTAACTACCTGGAATAGCAAAACAGCAAAGCAATGTAAAACAACAGATAGGCCTTTTTGTAGGATTTAGATACAAGTGGATATAGCAGATCAGCAAGACATAGCAGCTCCTATCTACTGAGGATGATCATATAATAAGTGAAGCTTGGTGGACAATTTGAGAAAATATGTTCTGATGGACTTAAAGCAGTTTCTTCAGAAGTTCTAGCAAAATTGGCTTTGTTCAGTGTTGCCAGAGCTGAGCAGATCATGAAGCACAACATGGACACCATGATAGCTGGCCAATACAGCAATACTTATGAACTTGACTTTTATGCTGGCATTGTTGGAGTTACCATCAGGAATCAATTACTGGAGTTTCAGAAAGGCTAAAGAGAAATTCCCAGATGGAAAGGAGAGTGGGTGGAGGAGGTTTATTAACTCGAATGGAAGAGTCAGTACAATGCTAAATCCTGCTTGATCTATTCAGTTGGTCTGCCAGGCACAGGTAAGACAAGTTGCAGCACTACTGCATCTGTGCTATTGGGTATCTTTGCACTGCGCTTCTGTACTATGCTGATCACAGAGTATCTGGGAGTTTTCATTCTTCTAGTTCCTCCAATGAAGGGCTGACTGAAAGCATTCTTTTGTATTTATGTAGAGATTGTTGTGTTCAGATTTTTCCATAAATCATTATATTTTTGCTTCTGGAAAATTTGTCTGGGTTCTTTTGATTTTTTTTTTTCCCCCATCCTTTTACCAGATTCTGGTAATTCGGTAATCGTGCCTGGTTGGTTTAATGGCACAGCTGCTGTAGTTCTGACTTGGTTGCAATACATGCAGAATACCAGATGTTTCTTAGCACATATTCATGTGCTGTGTTCACATGCACAGAAAGTCTGAAGCTTCAGGGAAACATTTACTCTGCATGAATGACACAGTTGCTGAGTGCTTGAACAGAGACTTTCTCAAAGCGTCAGACTTCTGACTAGTCACTGTGTAGTGTGTATGTACATGTTTCTGTTCAGGACACCAGGAATAAAAATATATAGGGAAACTAGTTTGAGGCAGATATTCATATTTCACATTTTTGCTACTGCTGCAAACAGTGTTTGCTAATTACTCGTGTCAAAGCAACAGGTGTATGTGCACAGCTGTGGGAGAAAGACAGTGTTCCTAGTTCTCACCTATTCATGGCTGTACCCAAAATACAGGCAGTTTTCTCATGCAAGGCTATGTAACAAAAATGTCAGGAAATACTGGTGTATGTCAACTGCCATGTGCAATTTGGAGTGGGAAAACAAGATGATATTGGAGGAAGTTTAGAAAGGCAGTTCATGATTTTTTTCTTGTATGTTCAGTTCCATGCTCAATATTCTTATGACTAGGAATGAAACAATTGTTATGACCTGTGACAGACGAATCAATGCTTTCTTTCTATCAAACACCACAAAATATTTCCTCTTTCTAAAGTAAAAATTCATGTCTGTACTGGAAAAGAAATTTGTTTTTACAAAGACCAAGTAATGACATGTGGGACATTAGAACACAGGATAAATTTTTAGACGTTAGACTAAAGGCCAGGCATCACTGTGTTTTCAAGATGGGAAATAGCTGTCCACAGACCAAGGAAGAAGAGAAATCCAGCAGTGTATTAAGAGTTTATAGCCAAGATAAGCAGAAGCAGGCAACATTCATTGCACTCAAGTCTCTTACAATTGAGAGAAGGAAAATAGGAAATATCACAGACAACTAGAATTCTTCA